GGTCGTTTCCAACGGTACTTTCCCAGTAGGTCTTACACTCTTTATTGTGGAGTCTATTTTTCCCCCTCCCCAAATATATATTTTTTTAATTGGGGAAAGGTTTACAGAGCCGATCACGTCTCCATTCAACGATTCATACGCGTTTTGTTTCTTGTCATTGTTTGCAATCCCACAAAGTAGCATCCCTTATCCCACTTCCTCCCTGTGTTATGTTCCCCTCTCTCCTTCTTTCCTAATGCTTGCGAACTTTGTTTTTGGGTAAATGCTGTCAATTTGATCTCAAATACGGTCCTTTGATTATTCTAAGGCCGTGGGGGCGGGGCGGCGGGAGGGTGGGGGGGAGTGGAGGTAGAGGAAGAACGGCCAGCCTGTGGGCTGTATGAGGCCCAGGAACTCACCAATACTAGTGCACATCACACGCCTCCCCAAAGAGAATCATTCCCAGCCGTCACAGTGGGGTGAGTTCATTACATGTTGGACCAAATAGAGCAGGTAAGTTTTTGGGTTGATAGTTTTGTATGGTCCATGAATCTTATAAATATCTACATGACCTTTGGCAGAAAAAGGCCCCCTACTCCTGTTCTAAGGTGTGCTTCCCCCCTTAGTATTAACGTTCCCCGTCCAGTCCTGTCGGAGCCCTGGTGGTGTCCTGGTGGTGCTGCCATTCCAAAGCTCGGCAGTTCCAAATGGACTTTGCGCGCCCACGGACAGTGACCGTCCCAGAAAGTTAAAGAAGGGCACTTTCACCCTGTCCTGCTCTATGACTCGATGGCAGTGAGCGTGTCGTCCCGTATGTTGTTTCAAGGAGCAGGCACCAACTCGAGCCATTGGGGTGAGTTCATTTCCAGACCTGAAGGGCGACTCAGGGTCAGTCTCAGGGGTCCCCCTGCTGTCTCTCTAGTCTTCCGTATGATTCTGAGCTTTGGTCCACATGTCCCTCCCTCTCTCTCCAGGACCTTCTTACGTGGGCCCTGTCGGAGCAGTTGGGAGGGGCAGCTGGGCGCCATCTATTCTTCTGTCCGCAGGGTCACGGGGACTGGGGTTCACAGGCTCTGTAGTCCTCAGACTCATGATTTTCACGTGTCCTCAAGGGTCTTCATTATTCTTCCCTCTGGACACGGAGAGAGGAATAAGTGTGCCTTAGATGGCTGCTCATGAGCTTTTAAACCGTCGACACTCACCTGTTAATACTCATCAGAGTAGGATGTGGAACATTGTCTTTGTGGACTGTTAGGCCAGTTGACCTTGGCGCTCATTCCTCTGCGTAGCTGAAGGGTTTGGTTCCACATTTAAGTGTCATAGGACTTTCGATGGATGCGTTTTCAGAATTTCTTCCGGAGTGCTTCAGGATGAACGCTAACCTTTACCCTCCAACCTTGCCATCAGCAGCTAACAATATTCAATGCACCACCTAGGACTCTGGTCAAATAAACCTCTTTCACTCTCAGTTTCCTCATCTGCAAAATGGGCCATTATTCTACCTAAGGGTTATTAGGAGGTGTGTTAGTCTGGGTTGACTAGAGAAACAAATTCATCGACACTCATATATGTGTGTAAGAGAGAGCTTTATATCAAAGAGCAATTTTATATTGAGAAAACATCCCAGCCCAGTCTAGATCAAGTCCATAAGTTCTATATTAGCCTATATGTCCAAAACTGGTCCATGAATTCCTTTTTAGACTCACGCAGCGCATGTAACGATGCCGACAGCAGCAAGGTCACAGGCTGGTGGGTGGAAAGTCCTGTGGATCCAATGGTAATGCATCCACAGGGCTCTGGCTGCCATCAGCTTGGCTCCACGTGGCTTGTCAACAGGGATGTGTAGCAGAGAGTGTCCCTGCATAAAGTTGTGTAACTTCCACAGGAGGATTTAATGAAAGCATGTACAGTATGTTGACTATCTAGCACACTCTCTCTCACTGCCATTGAGTCTTCAGAGCTGGCTGATAGCTTTGAACTGCTGACCTTGAGGACCACAGCCCAATGCACAACCATTACGCTCCCCCAGGGCTCTTAGTTAGCAAATGGCGTGTTCAATATATAAAAGCTATTGTTCTTATGATTAACCTTGTACATCCTCCTTGCAATGTGTACAAGCCTGAGCCTGCCACGTTTAAAATGAGGACAGGCATGTGGTATGATTGAGCGAGCCATGGGCAGGATGAGATGGAATGAGAGAAGATGGCCACCTCCTGTGGGTACAGGGTGAAAGGCCTTGAGAGCCTTTGGCCTTGGTCTGATCAGTGAAGGAACACCTCTATTTCTGAGCTTTCTTCTTTCCTTGTTCTCCCTTGGTGCATTAGCTTCCTGGGGCTATCGTAACAACACACTGTGGACAGGGTGACAACAGGGAAATACTGTCTCCTGCTTCTGAATGCTTAGACGTCAGAGTGCTTCAGAATTCAGGAGGTTGCCCGGGCCATGCTCTCCCCCAAAGACTAGGGAAATAGACTTTTCTTGTCTAGCTTCTAGGGGTCTCAGGCCTTCTGTTCCTTGTGGGAGCATGACTCCTCTCTGTAGGCACCTTCACATGCCTGGTTTCCTCGTGCACTGGACTGCCAACCCACCCAAGGAGCCCTGGTGGGCGCTGAATGCACTTGGTTGCTCACGGAAAGGTTGGCAGTGAGAACCCAGTACACTGCTTCATGATATCAAGAGGTGGCGGCAGATATGGTAGCTGCGGCTACACCAAGAACAGCCTTGAAAACCATGTGAAGCAGTCCCCCTCTGCCCCCTAAGGTCGGTCGTCAGGAGTAGAAATGGATTCACTAGCAATCCTTTGGGTACCACCCAGGAAAGAAAAGGCTTGGCTCCGTGCTTCCATATAGCCTTCTACTCCGTCATATAGATCACCGGCACCAATTACAATGGACTCGATGGTAACAGGTTTGGTGGTTTTTTAAAAAAAATAAATCATTTTATTGGGGGCTCTTACAGCTTTTATAACAATCCATAAATCAATTGTATCAAACACATTTGTACATATGTGGCCATCATCTTTGTCAAAACATTTTCTTCCTACTTGAGCCCTTGGTATCAGCTCTTCTTTTTCCCTTCCCTCCCCTCCCTTTCACCCTTGTGAGCCCTTGATAAGTTATTATTATTTTCATATCTTACACTGTTCACTGTCTCCATAACAGGTTGGTTTTTGTTTTTTTATGTGTATGTGACTCCTTCATCAAACCTCAGCCTTTGCTCATGCGCTTCCTTCTTTCTGGACCGTTCCCTCTTCCCCCCAGCAACTCCACATGATGACTCCTCCTTTAGGTCATTTAAACCCCACATTAAAATTCACTTCCTCAGTAAGGTCCATCCTGGACCACCCAGGCATTCTCTGTCACATCACCCTGTTTTGTTTTCCTGCACAGTACGTACTAACATTATTTTATTTGCTTGTTGTCTACTAGAAACCCAGAGACCAGAGTAGCGCTTGGCCCTCATCAAATGCTCATTAGACATGCCCTGAATGAATGAACAGTGGTTGGGGTTAGACTGAAGGGCAGGCAGTCTTCCAGAGCGAAAGGATGAAATGGACAAAGGTGTGAAGTCAGGAGCAGGCACACCCTGTCCCAAGAGTGGCCAACCCAGCTTCAGACACAGAGGGGTGGATCCGTCGTGCAGGGTAACGGAAGGTCATTGAAGACCTAGCACTGAGGAGTGGCCTGATTCAAGCTGCTTGTTGCTTTTTTTTAATTTTGATAAGTACAGTAATTTTACTGGAGGCTCTTACAAATCTTTTAACAATCCTTACATCAATTGTATCAAGCACATTTGTACATATGTTGCCATCGTCCTTCCCAAAACATTTCCTTTCTACTGGACCCCTTGGTATCAGCTCCTCTTCGCCCCGCCCCCCCCCCACCCTCGTGAACCCTTGGTAATTTATAAATTATTTTTATTTTAATATTTTACACCATCTGCTCTCTTCCTTCACCCATGTTTCTGTTGTTTGCCCCCCTGGGGCGTGGGGTGTTGTATGTTGATCACTGTGATCTGTTTCCTCTTTTTCCCCCTTCTCCCGCCCACCTTCCCCCTACCCTCCTGGTATTGCTACTTTCATTATAAAGCTGTGTTTTGAGGCAATTAACCTAGAGCGCTGTCCTTTGGCTCATGGATTTCACACAGCACTTGGTCCACAGTGACTGCTCAGTGCATGTAGACCCAAGTGGGCAGAGGAGCGGGGAAAGTCATACGAGGGGAGGGTGGGGAGCACGCAGTACACCTAAGCCCACTTGGCTGCGGGTCAGAATCTCAGGACAACTGCTGCACGGAGGAGGTGCTGTTGGGAAGGCATTTCCAAGAGGCCTGGGAAGCCTGGTGCCCAGAGGAGAGGAGGCCGGGAAACACTCGCTTTCTGTTGGGTGGAGGACCAGGTGGTGAGAAGGCTGGAGAAGGGGCTTTAGGACCAGAAAAGGCCATGGTGCGAGGACTGGTAGCCCCTGCCATGACAGGAATGTCCCTTCTGTGGTGTCCTGGTCCCTCGGGGATTTGTCTCTGGGTGCTATCCCCAGCATCCCGGCCGCTCAGTCTGGCTCCTCTCTGGTGCTGTCGGTCGGCCCCGCCTGATTCCCCGACTCTCCCTCTAGCTGTGTCTCCCTTTCTTTCCAACTGGGGCCACCCTCCTCTGAGCCTAGCTCTTCCTTCCTTCGGGGGTTCTGAGTCTTCCTGGGGTGATCTTTCCCTCCACCCTGCTCGGACACGCCCTTTGCCCCCCCTTATCCCCCATATTCAGATGAAGTCCAGGACCTGGGGTCTGCGAGAGGCCGCCTGGCCCCGGGAGACGAGAGGGGGCGGGCGCAAGCGTTCGCTCTATATCTGCATATGTATGAGGTCGGCTGGGCCAGCGACGAGGAGGTGGGGCTTCTGGGGGTGGGAAGGGGGCGGGCACCCCTGAGCCGCCGAGTATAAAGACTGCGCGCTTCGGTTGCCGGGCCCGCACTGCTGAGGAGCGGAGCCTCCACCTGGGGGACCCCCATCCTTGGCTCTCCCTCAACTGCGCGTCCTCACCCCACCCCCGCGACCGGGCGGGTGCGGCGGTCTCGGCTCGGCAGGGGGCCCTCGAGTGACCGGCCCCACTCCACAAGCTCGTTACATCTCGGATTTCGGGGGGCGCCCTCCCCCCGCCTCTTGGCACCCCGCTTTTCTCTGTATTTCCCTCGGGTTTTATAGCCGTCTATTTTTTGCACTTCTTTACGTTTTGCTTCGAGGCGGTCTGAGGGTGAGGCTGCATTCGCGCCCCCCCACCCCGCCTCTTTTATCCTTCCCTGCTCCGACAGCCCCCCCTTTTCATTGCAGTCGGGGGTGGGGGGGCTTGGATCAGTGCATCCTCAGCCGCGCTGCCAGCACCCCGCAGCGCGTGGCGGTGCACCTCGGAATTTGCAGCCTCGGCTTCTCCGCTAACGGGGGTCGCCCTCTGCCCCGCCGCCTTTGCTCCGTGCGCGGTCTGGTGCGTGGCGGGGCTTCAGCTAGCGGCGCCCCGCTTCTCCGCAGCCCCCCACCCCGCGCCGCCAACATGGTCAACCGGAAAGAGAAGAAGAGCTGCGGGCAGGTGGTTGAGGAGTGGAAGGAGTTCGTGTGGAACCCGAGGACGCACCAGTTTATGGGCCGCACCGGGAGCAGCTGGGGTACGCGGGGCGGACGAGCGAGGGTCGGGGGGCGCGGGGGCACCCCTGGTAGGCTCCAGGATCGGCCGGCGCAGCCCCAGCGCCCCTCCCGGGTCCCCGGGGCCGGCCCCCCCGGCCCCCGCCGGGTTCTGGGCGGGGAGGGCGCCGATCACCAGAGTAATCTCCCGAGCTGGCCGCTGCGGAGGCGGAGAAAGTAGGTCACCCCCGCCTTCCCGCCCCCCGCGGAGCCCCCTCGGGCGGGGGGTCTCGGGCTCAGCGCGCGTGTCCGCGCCGAGGCGCTGGGCTGGCTCTGCCTCTCCGGGTCGGGTCGCCCCGTTCGGCGAGCGCCCCTTCCCTCCCTCCCTCCCTCCCTCCCCAGCTCTGGTTAGCCAGCCAACCCTGTCTATTTTTAGTCGGTGCCCACCCCGCCTAGACCCTGGGAATATGCACGAGGGGGCGGGTCTTGGAGAGGTGGGCGGGGGAGGGGGCTGCTGGAGGAGAGGATGCTCCGGGTTGTCTGCATCCCACTGCTGAGCGTTGGGAGCGCCCTGCCGGCAGCATTTGTGGGCGGGGGCTGTTGGGAATGGGATCCTGTGGCGGGATGTTCGGGGCGTTTGGTTCGGTTGTCTGTGCAGGAGGGAGGGGTGCTCATGGTGGGGAGATGCGCACATCATCCGGCGGGCGTTCCCGGTGGCTCCGGACAGTCCCCGTGTCCAATGTCATGGCAGGACTCAGGACATGTGGCGTGTGTTCTGTGGGGCCTGGGCTCTGGCCACAATGCCAGGGATGGGTGGAATTCTTCCAGAAGGGCTTGGAAGGAGACACTGTACGATAGACGCTGGTGGGATACTGCCCCAGCGCTCACCCCTCCGTGCTTCTTGCCTTTGATCCAGCCCCTGGGATCTGAGGGCTTTCTGATTGCTTGGGAGAACCTGAGGAGGCTTCCTGGAGGAAGGAATGCCTTCCGAGGTGGGAGGACTGGGAGTCTGAGGGGGGCCGTGGGGGGCGATGGAAACTGCAGGTGCTTCCACTAGGCTGAGTGAGTGATGGTGTCTGGCAGTCAAGCCGAAGGGCCTGGCCAGAGAGCGGAGGCCTGCCCAAGGTTCCACAGGGTTCCCTGCCTCTGCTCTGGGTGCTGTGTGAGAATCGGGGTGTGACCGTGGAAGACCCTGGACAGCCAGCCGTGGGGCTCCGATTTTGTAGCCAGCTATGTCGCAGGCTTGGCTTCTGTGGGGCCAGGCCAGAAGGAAGCATGTGCTTTGCAGGTGTGGTGTACAAACGCCTGCTGGGAGGGTTCAGGCTCTGCAGGGTGGTGTGAAGGGCTTGGTTGTGATTGGTGGCCAGTGCCAGCATCGAAAGTCACTGGGTTGAGGACCATTTAAGCAGGAGAAGCAGGTACAGTGGTCACAGATGTGCCTATGTCAGGGCCACAGCCGGTTGAGAAGTTGGGAATGTGCTGTGAGGCAGAATTTCTTCAGTCTCTGCTTGGGGTTGTCCTAGCAACGAGAGTTTAGGTCTCTTGTGGCCATCATCCGTTCCTACTTCACTGTGCCCTAGGACCAGGAGGAGGGCTTGGGAGTCATGGCTTGAAGCCAGACACAAAGGCCTGTTTCCAGTTTGTCTCATTTTGCTCCCAGGAGAGGGCTTTAAGATGTCCCTGTGGACATCCCATAGCCGGACTTCTGAAGGGGGCTGGAGGCGGGTGGGGTGGGAGTAGGTGAGGCCATGGTGGGAGACTTGGAACCTATTGACCCTCCTTCCTCCTCCCTAGCCTTTATCCTCCTCTTCTACTTCGTCTTCTATGGCTTCCTCACGGCCATGTTCACCCTCACCATGTGGGTTCTGCTACAGACTGTTTCCGACCATACCCCCAAGTATCAAGACCGACTGGCCACACCGGGTGAGTGAGGAGATACCCCTTACTAGCCATGCTAAGCACTGCCCTGACCCCCAACCTCCAAAAGAAATTCACGGGCTTTGAAAATTCACGGGAAGGTATTTGTTTCCAACGATCCAGCCTCCCTGTGCTGGGAACATTTTAAAGTGCTGCTTCCCTCCCATTGCCTACGGCTGAAAGCTGTGTTCTGAGGAGACGGCGGATCTTCAGAGACATTGCCCTCCAGAAAGAGCTTTACCCCATCCCTCCCCTTGGTCCCCCCAGTGTCTACCACCTTGGCCTCTCCGTGTGGTCCTTCATTTCCCATACACCCTGTGCCTCGGCCCTGGTCTAGGCTTGATGATTCGCCCCAAGACCGAGAACCTTGATGTCATCGTCAACGTCAGTGACACTGAAAGCTGGGACCAGCATGTTCAGAAGCTCAACAAATTCTTGGAGGGTGAGTGGGGGACTGGCTATGTAGTTGTCCAGGATCTTGAGCAGGACATTGGGACCCCCAGAGGCAGGGCATCAGCCCTATGACTCTCTCGTCCACCCCCATAGCTTACAATGACTCCATCCAAGCCCAAAAGAATGATGTCTGCCGGCCTGGACGCTATTATGAACAGCCTGATAATGGAGTTCTCAACTACCCCAAACGTGCCTGCCAGTTCAACCGGACCCAGCTTGGTGACTGCTCTGGCCTCGGCGACCCTACTCACTATGGTTACAGCACTGGGCAGCCCTGTGTCTTCATCAAGATGAACCGGGTACCCCAGACCTTCATCCGCAGGGATTGCAGAGGAGGGGGCTGGGGCCAACAGCTCTGCTGACAGCTGCTTCCTCTCACTGGGGAGCAGCAGCGGTGCAGTGATTCAGCACTTGGTTGTTAGTGGAAAGGTTGGTGGTTCAAGCCCACCAGTTGCTGAGAAAGATCTTACAGTCTGCTCCCATAAAGATGGGTAGCCTTGGCAAGCCTATGGGGCAGGTCTACTCGGACACACATGGGTTCCCATGGGTCAGGCTCAGCTCAAAGGCACCAGGTTGGTTAAGGAAGATGAGGGGAGGTTGGGGATGGTTGAGTAGCTGTGAGAATACGAGATGGGGCCAATGCAGGGTGAGATGTGCAGCTAGATGACTGGATTTGGGTTTCTTCCACTAAACCATATCACCCTCTCTCCTCTAAGCCTCACCGCCCTTTCTTTCTACGCCAGGTCATCAACTTCTATGCCGGAGCAAACCAGAGCATGAATGTCACCTGTGCAGGAAAGGTGAGTGAGTTTGCAGATCTTGACCCCCTGTCTATCTCTTTGCACCTACTCAGCCTTACTCCTTATTTCCGTGTCATTCCTTCATTCTTCCCATGTGGTCAACTCATTTCTCCCTTCTTCTTTGCTCCCAGAAGCTCCGCCCCTATAGGGACCAGGGGGTAAGAGTGGGTCCCCCTAAGCCTTGAACTCCCATCCCTCTTCCTTCTTTCTAGGAGGCAGAAGCCGGCTCTTGTGTGGCTAGAGACAGGCCCTCCCTGCCTCTGTCAAAGCCCAAGCTTCTGACCTCTCTCCCTCACCCTGCCACCTTTCCCCCTATCCCTGGTATTCCTGGTCTTCCGCCCTCCTTTCCATCTCTCCCCGGCTGTCTCTCAGCCCTTTCTCTTTAGGCGTTTGATAGCTCTTGATTTGTTAGATTTGGACCCCCCCCTGCTCCTCACCCTCCTGTTCTCTCTGGGACCCGCTGCCTCTCTTCATTCACAACCCTTTTGCTCCCTACTCTCTGTTCTCTCCTGGCTCTGCTCCAGAAACTGACTCCGGAAGATGGGGTAAGACTTGGGGTGGGACTGGTGTAGGAGGCTTTCATGTCCTTAGCTCCTTTCAGGTGTTCCCAGTCTGATGAGAGACAGGACACCCACCCACCACCCCCCTTCCATGCGCACACACAGTCTCACAGGAAACAGACCTGAGGTAGGAACAGTTTAGGGGTGAGGACTGAGCAAAGGAAGTCTGGAGAGCCCCGAGCTTCCGGATGCCTGCCTGACCTCACAGGCTCTCCTCCCGCCCTTTCCGCCCCTCCGCAGCGAGATGAAGATGCTGAGAACCTTGGCGGCTTCGTCATGTTCCCAGCCAATGGCCACATCGACCTCATGTACTTCCCTTACTATGGGAAACAATTCCACGTAAGTCCCGCCGGAGGCTGCGATGGTGGATCCGTCAGGAGGGCCGTTCTTAGGGGAAGAGGCTAGATTGCCGTTGGCTAGATCCTTACTTGCCCCCTCTGGCCTAGGTGAACTACACGCAACCCTTGGTGGCTGTGAAGTTCCTGAACGTGACCCCCAATGTGGAGGTGAATGTGGAATGCCGGATCAATGCTGCCAACATCGCCACGGATGACGAGCGAGACAAGTTTGCTGGCCGCGTGGCCTTCAAACTCCGCATCAACAAAACCTGAGACCCCTTCCTTCCGCCCCTGTCTTTTTCCCGTGGATGCTTCTGGAATGTCCCTGACCCTGCCTGGTACCTCCCTCACTTGCCCCAAAGGTATTTTTTATAACAGAGCTATGGCTTGTCTGAGCCCCATCTCTTTTCCTTTACTTCCCAATCCAGCCTGGGAGCCATGGTCATTTCCGGGCTACACACACTTTCCCCACCTCCTTCTCCCAACTCCAGCCCCCTCACCTTTCTCTCCTATGGGCTTTGTTCTGAAGGTGAGGTCCTCACAGCTACCCCACCTTTCCTGACCCCCTGTCCCCAGAGAGCTGTGACAATGCCCACCCTTGACACTGTCCGAGATGAATGTGGTAACCTGTTCTTCCTAAGCTTCAGTCTCTGTGACCCCCACCCCCCTCCACGCCACCCCCCACTCACACCCACACCCACACACATACACCCTTACCTTGGTGGCTTTTGACTGAACTCAGTCCTCTGGCAGGTCTTCAGTTCTCCATCCTCCATTCCCTCCTCTGAAGAGAAACCTTTCTGAGATTGAGGACCAGGTGGTTCTGTGGCCAGTCCCCTCTCCCCTCAGCACATCCTCACCCTGTGGTGACTGCGCGAGCTGGGAAATGAGGTCTCCTCCCACGGGGAGAGAGGATGGAAGAGAAGGCTGCATATACATATGCACTCTTCTGGAACCTTCTCCAGTGGTGCCCGCTCCCCGCACTCCAGTCCCTGCCAGATCCCTCCCACCCCCCACTTCGCCACTACTCCAAGGGGTGGAGTGGGTCTAGGCTGACTATTCACTTTGTCCCTTTGTTTCCCTTCCCCCATGAGCTGTCCCAGAATATCCTCCAAGTTCCACTTCCCAGGGCGTGCTGGGGTGGGGGAGGGGCGGCCATGTTGGCTCTGTCCCCAGTGGCCACCTTGAAAACAACTGGCTAGGGGACCATTCCACCTCCCTCCCCTGGGCCCAGATCTGTCCCCACTGTCCTTTCCCGGCAAGCTATCAACTAATCACTAACTCCTGCTCTTTCCTCTGCATGTCAGTCTGAGCGTTTAAAACACAACCCCGGCCCCACCCCCAGCTATCGAAGCTCTGAATTTCTTGGCTCCACCTCCACCTCCTTCAGACCCCTCTGCCTGTTGTCAAACCCCCACGATGGATGATGTGCTTAGAATGTTAAATGAGGGACCTCCTGCTTGCTCAGGGGAGTGTGGTTTAATGATAGAGGCATTTTTTTTAACTCTTTTTCTTCCAGTGTCCCTTCCTTCCTCCCCACTTCCACCTCCCCCTTTTCTTTTTAAATGCTGCAGTAGCCTGCATAACCCACTCCCGAGAGGTCTCTTGCTAGCTCTGGGTCTCTTCCCTTCCGCCCCACTATGTTCCCGCTCCCCCTCTCCCCAAGGGTCTCTCTCTCTGCAGTTATTTAATGCCTATGTCAGATCTACTGTAAAAAGACGATAAAGTACAATAAAACGAGAGCAATCATATATATAAATATATATCATACACAGAGCCCTGTGTGCAGGTTGTACCTTTTTGAGCTCTGGGAGGTGGGTGGAGGGTGGACTTGAGTGATCCTGGCAGCGTGGTAGTTACATCCGGGGCTGCCAAACTGCAAGGTGAGCCACGTGAATTCTCCAGCTATCTCTGGGAGAAAGATGCGGTGCTCTACTCCCACAGTGTCAGGAACTCACAGAGGTAGTTTTGCCTTTTTCTGTGGGGTCGCTATGAGCCTGAAGGGACTCCATATAACAGTGAGTTCAGAGGTTGGTTTTTTTTGCAGTGGGGGGTGGGGGTGGGGTGTTAATCAGGCCAGGAGGACTGCTCAACACCTTTGATCTCTTCTTTGCAGGGTGCAGGTATTCGCCCCTTGGCCATTCCATTGATTATACTGATAGGATGCGCCCAATCCTTAGAGCAAGGAATCTTGGTGTCAAAACAATTAAGTGTTTGACCACTAATTGAAAGGTCAGAGTTCAAACCCACCAGCTGTTCCAACAGAGAAAAGACCTGGTGATTTGCTCCCACACAAGTTAGGCCTAGGAAACCCCACAGAGGCCACTTAGTGGTCCTGCAAAGCCCGGCTCTGAGTCAGAATTGACTGGTACACATATCATCCTGAGATCAGGAGCCCCTGGGTGCCACAAATCCTTCATCGGCTACTAAGGAAAGGTTGGGGTTTGAATCCACCTGGAGGGGACTCAAGAGAAAGCTCTGGCAATCACCTTCCAAACGGTTGTAGCCTTTGAAAACCCTCTGGGACACAGTTCTGCACTGAGAGATGTGGGGTCGCCTTGAGTCAGAGTTTCTTGGGAAGTGCGCTGATTTTCGCTTTTTGTTTTGTTTTGCGTTGAGATCCACTCAGTATGAGAGGCAGGAGGCCTACATCGATCCTCATCACATGCCTATGATGCTTCTAGGACCACGAGGATACACTTAGGAAAGAGACAGTTCCTGCCCTCCTGGAGTGGCCAGTTTAACAGGAGAGGTGAGCACACAGTACATTCTCAGACAAGGCAGGCTTCATCGTGCTTCAAGAAAGGAGAGCAAAGCTGTTAATGCTGCAACACACACACACACACACACACTCACAAAGCTGCAACGCAGAGTGCTCTCTATTTCCTGTGCTGGGGCGCAAAACAAAGGCTTCCTAGAGAAGGCAGTACTTAAGCTGGGGCTTAAAGGATGGGATGTTCTGGGAGAGAGGAGAGCATTAGTTAGCAAAAGCCTAGACATAGCTGAAATAGCTTAGTAGTATGACATGTATGATCCTAATTTGGTATTTTTAAAACTTTACAACCACATCCCTACTTAGCTAGGCAAAAGGATGGGTAAATACTGCAATGCGTATTTGTTTACCTATGGGGGCAGAGGACAGGCTGGTAGCTAATTGTTATTTTATTCTTGGGGCTTGTTTATGTCTCTTGCTTGCAATGAGTTGGTCTTAGTAGTTGTCTTGAAAGTTTTATTGTCTATGAGTACATATATTCACAGTCTAACAAATACACAATTCACACACACTCCACTGTTAACACCAAAATGTGATCATAGGACACTCTTGTGTATCTTGCTTTTCTCAGTTAATTTCCTCTGTGCCTACTTGACCTGATAACACTCTAATTCATTTCTTTAATGGCCGTATAATACTCCATTTTCCCATTGGGTCACTCTCTCCCTGCTAATGTGGAACAGTTTCTGGACAAGTACAGTCGGGAGGGAGCTTTCCACACTGCAGTCTGCCTCTCGATCTGGGGGATATCTTTTGCCACGACCAAGTCTTTGCTTCTATATTGTCAAATACGTTGAGTTACTCTTTTGCAGTGTCTGGGTTTCCAGTCTTGGTTTAGAAAGCCTGTCTTCCCAGTCACTGGGCAGGGGTGGGGACGCCTGGCCGTCGGGCTGTGTCAGGCCTTGGCAATCAACACCAGCTAATGTCACACGCCTCACCAAAGAGAAGAAAATGCCAGCCGTCTCTTTAGCGTGAGTTAACTGCCTCAGTCTGGCTGGAGTATAATATGATAAATCTCCCAAATGAGCCTTGGCGGGGAAAAAAGGTTGCCCACTCCTGCACTAGGCCATGCACCTTTTCACTTTCTAGGTAATTAAATTTCATTTTAATACCCCTTATCTGATGTGTGTGTGTGTGTGTGTGTGTTGGTGAAAATTAAGCGCCCAGTTTTATCTTTACAATTGTGCTAGCTTCCTTTGCTTCATTCCTGGATTCTCCTGGGCTGTCTATCATTCTGCTCCACACACCACGCGAGGTTGACCTGATGCCCCTAGTTTCCTTTTCCTAGCCAGGCAAGTAGGGCCTTCAGTTTTTTCTACACACGGTTATTCATGGGCGTTTATTCTTCTCCACAAAGTTACAAATTGACCCCATGTATGATCCTAATTTGGTGTGTTTCAAAAAAGAACACACACACACAGATGCATAGAGCAAAGGATGAGTGGGAAAATACTGAAAAAACCAAAACCAAAACTAACTTGGTGAGATCCTCGTGAGAGTTGCATTGCTGTTTTTTTCAGAAGACCTGACTTACAGTGTATTCACTTTCCCAGGCGAAAGCATAGTCCTCCTTTGTGCTTGGATCTTGGCCTGTGTGCTTAAGAAAGGTCTTACAGTTGTCTTTATACCTATGGATTCTGTGCCTCTTTGTTCTCTTATTAAATGTATTCCTAAATGTAGAATTGCTTTTGTCATTATTTCAAATGGATTAAAAAAAACTTTTTGTGGGTGCTTTTGCTAGAAAATATTCCTGCATTTATCTCCTACTATTCATTTATCTAGGGAGAAAGGCTGGACTTTCTACTCCCATCTCGGACACTCACAGGGTGGGACTCCTTGGCAGCGAGTTTGGTTTGGTTTATTTATCTAGCTAGGAGTCTTGGTGGCATAAGAGGTTACACGCTGGTCTACTAACCACAAAGTCAGCTGTTCAAATCCATTAGCAGCACTCTTCAATCCCAAGGATGAGGCTGCTTGCTTCTGTAAAGATTTATAGCCTCTGAAACATTAAGGAAACAGTTCTGCTTGGTCCTATAACGTTGCTATGCATAGGAATTGCCTCCATACAGTTTTTTAAAATCCATGTAAGAGGAGCCCTAGTGGCATACTGTGTTAAGCACGAGCTGCTAGACAGAGGGTTAACAGTTCAAAACCACCGGCTACTCTGTAAAGGTGAGATTTTCTACATTCGTAACCATTGTAGACACCCAGAAACTCACAAGGCAGTAGTACTCTACGTCAGAATGGATGTTGGGTAAACATTGGACTGCTAATTGCAAGATTGGCAGTTCAAACCCACGACCTGCTTTGTGGGGGAAAGTTGAGGCTATCTAGCCTGGAAATATTTACAGCACCAATCGCTTCAGACACCCTGATATAGGCTCACAAGGAGTTGGGGGTCAGCTTGAAGACAGTGTGTTTGTTTTAGGCCTCCTTGATGGTCCACGAGGCTGTCTCCTCCAGTAAAATGTGTGCCTCAGAAACCGCCAGGGGCAGTTCTGCTCCGTTTAATAGGGTTGCTGTGACTCCATGGTAGTAAGCATTCAATTTCATAAAATCTGTATTTTCAGTACATCATCATATACACAATTATCATTTGATCCCCTTGAGTTAAAACTGTGCCAGTGGACATTCTTGCCTAGCTCTTGTTTTTAATTGAAATTATCTGTGTTTTCCAATTTAGAGAAATATTGACTTATTGGTATTTTATGACATTGGTTTTAATGATTCTGTTTTTAAGGGTTGCTGATTTTTTT